TCTGGAATCGACTGATGTCTGGCAACGGCATGACGAGTGCAAGCATGTTGGTATGGGGAAGTTCACGGACATGGCAGGTGGAAAGATCGTAGTCCGGAAGGAGGTTGGTGCTGAAGAAGAGTTGGACCGCTTTCTTGAGTACATCACCTGGAATTCTGTGATCAACCTGGTGAAGTTGTTCAACAGCCGCATCGTATTCTTCTTGCTCAATGGAGGTGGTCGGCTGGGGACGTTCAGCAGCTGTGAGTTCATTGGCTGCACGCATCCTATCTGGATGATTCAATGCATGTTTGATATGACGAGCCCATTCGTCTCTCGAGCCATCTTGGAGATTGATGGCAACATGTCCTGGAGGGACGGCAGTAGAGACACGAGATTGGACTGAGCCTGATCTGTGTTGAGGTTGGCGTGAGCGGTTGGAGTTGTGGTCGGAGGAGAATGCAGTGAGTGGTTTGGTGGAAGGTTTGGTGGAAGAGTCATAATGACTATGATGTCTGGATGATGATTTGGGGTAATCGATCCAACCCGATGGGTGGGTTTGATACGGAGTCTTGGCGTAATCCTTCCACTGGCCCCAGGATTTCCACTTGTTCGTGGAGGGTTGATCGTAGGATTGGTAGACGGACTGGGAATAATCATTGTGGGAAGATGGATGTTGATGGTAGTGTTGGTGTTCCCACGTTGCAGGATGAAGAGTGGCTGGTCTGTGACTGGGTTCATCTCGTGCATGATCATCATCTCTATCATGTAGTACTTCTCGTCGACGTGGAGAGGCTGAACGCAATGTGACCGAGGCAGCTCTGCTTGGACGTCTTGAAAAGTTCCTATAGATGTGGAACGTCGTCTCCTGCGTGACGAGCGTGGCCGAGAGGAACGATGTTCGTCTGGGCGATTTTTCTCGACGTGGACTTCGTGGGACAGAGGTTGGACGTTTGTCCGGTGCTGAACGATGCTGGTGAGAGCGAGAACGAGAGCGACGATGGGAGTGTTGTGGTGGTGGTAGAGCTTCATCTGATGGGAGAGGATGGCTTGGAATTGGTGGAGAGACTGGAATTGGTAATTGTACAGGAGTTGGAGGATGACTCTTGTTGCGCTCTTGGTTCTTGTCCACGAAGGCCTGCACGCTGGATTCTACCGTGTTCTTCATCTGCTGCATCATCTTTTCTGCGCTGAAGGATGCGCTGGATCCAGGTGGTGTAGATTGAGGTGCCACCGGTGTTGGTGGTTCCGGTGCTGGTGGTGTAGACTGAGGTGGATGTGGAGTGGATACGGATTGGTGGAATGGAAGAAGTTGTTGGAGATGCTGGATATGGGTTTGGGCTTGTGACGCAAGTTGTTGATTCAAAATGGAGTTTTGCTCCCTGAGATGAGCAAGTTGCGCCTGAGTCTGAGCTTGAGACTGAGCTTGTGACTGCTGGCTCATCATATCACCTCCACAAAATTGTCCAGGAGGTACTGCTGGTTGAGGTGACGAAAACGATGGAGCTGACCAGCCGTAGTTCCACATAGACTCCGGATAATTTGGCCAGCGACCAGGAAACATGGCACAAAGAGTCAGGTTTGCTAAATATCCAAAAACAACAGTTCATGAAATGATGCATCCACAACGCATGCAGAATTCGTGATAAGGCTCAAAGGCCCTCGGTATTCAAGTCAACCCCATCGACGGCTATCAGTGTTCAAATGAATTACATGCACAATTGAACCTCACCAACGACCAAAAAGAAAGAAGCACCATACCTGCAAGGATGTCCTGTTACCTGGAGTTTCATGTAAATGGCTGCGGGCAGTCTCTTGAGATAACAGAAAGAGTGTTGACGCGACGGCAATCTACCATCCCTCGGAGTTCAAAGAAAAGGTGATTCCCAGGCACAGCGGGCATCGTTTCAACACATCGACATCGACAGGTGAGAATCGAAAAAAGGCCGGCAGTTCACTTTACTTAGACAAATTACTAATTCAAAAGTGTAAATTCAGACGTCGATTTACTGTCCATTGTTAGCCTAGAAAGGCTTTCCCCGAAGGGTTCCTGCCAACTTGACGTATCCAGCAGGAGAGACACACTTGCTCAGAAACATCTTATCGAATTACTGATGTGGAACGCATCGCACGTGCAAAAACACTTCAGTTAAACCTGACAGGAGAAAGTGAATGACTAGGCGTGAGAAACAGTGAAGAAGAATTCTTTCTACGTCCTTGCTAGATGCAACTGTTCCATCTGACGATGTCAGCAGTAATTCAGATTGCGAAAACCGTACAATGGTTTGGTTCGAAAAAAGTTGGAAAACCGACATGCCGGTACTTGGCTTAGCCAGTTGCCATTGACGACAAAATTGAAAAGCAAGTACGTGACTCCAGCGTCCCAGCGAGTCATATCAGTCATGAATGCAGCCCTCTTCGTTGGGCAATCAGCTGCAAACATGAGATTGCCCCCCTGCTGTGACAGTTTGATAACTAATATCAAAACGAAGTTCTCAAAAAACCGAACAAGCAAGTTAGAAGTTTTACATCTTTTCAGATGTTCCACACACACACACTCTTCACTGGACTACACTAATTACACCACACCGCAACCACAACTACAACTGCAACTACACCACTACACTAATTACATTACAATACGCTACAACGACAACTCCTTTACGCCACAACTTCAACTACAACTGCACTACACCACACTGCATCCAGCAGTTGTGGGTGAGGTGACCACTGCAACCATTGCAACCGCCCCAAAAAACACAACTTCAACCACCTTTCGGTCCATCAGTGGATTCGCGCTGCCATCCATGGTCCATGCATCACAACAACTCACCTCTCCAGTAGCGTCCTTTCCTTGAAACTTCCGCCACCGGCTTGTGCGGTACTACTGGTAGACTGATGCAAATGCACATACAATTCCACATGCATACCGCACCCTCGCATTACAATAAGATATTATATATAGTGACGGACAACCACTTAGAACATCAAATTTTTTCCAAAATTTCGGAACCTGTTCTTAGAACATCAAAACAACTACACTTAGAACATCAAAACTGTTCCAAGTACGCACTTAGAACATCAGAAAAACAGATACTTAGAACATCTCCTTTGATTTTTTGCATACTTAGAACATTAAACACACATATACTTAGAACATGTCCTGTTACTTTGGTAAATCTGCATATATACACACAAATACCTTGGTGAACACCATACTTAGAACACTTTCTCCCCTCGCTGCTGCAGCATTCTATACCTTTTTTTCGGGAACAATATCCCAAGCAGTCTTCGCTGCAATGGGAAGGTCTCTAGTATATAAGTTGTGGGTTTCCTACAGGGGGTAGTCAAAAAGCATAGGTTTCAATACTAAAATGAGCTAAAATGAATTGTGTTTAATTTTGAATACATATATGTATGGTTCCCATTGGTTCCCCACTGGGATGTTCTAAGTGTAGCTTGGAAATGTTCTAAGTATAGGTTTTGGGTATGTTATAACGACTTCATACTTAGAACATCCCCGCTGTGACGGTTTTGAAATTTTTTTTCCAAATGATGTTCTAAGTGTTTGTCTGTCGCTATAATGCTATATTTGCATCTATTTGCACTTACATATCCAAACATCCAATTCTTGCCACCACTGATTTCCATGGTTCATAGATGTTTTGAAACGACAAGAAGAAGCAAAAAAAATGCAACGCCAATTCAACATGACAGGGTATACAAACACCGTGCTTAAGTCACATCAGGCGGGAAAAGCCACATCATGCCCATGGCACGGCGGCAATACAGAAAGTATCAGAAAGTCACATCAGGTAGCGGAAGTCACATCAGGGAAGAAGAATCACCATGGCACAGCCTGTTTCATCTATAAATAATTGGAGATTTAGTTAAAAGTAGCCGAAGCATTGCGCACGGCCAAGTTAATGCAAACAAATTCTCGGCAGCTAATCCTATTGGATTTGAAAATATTGTACTGATGTCCTGCGTCGCATGACCAAATCAAACCCCTATTGGTACAGCCTCAAATTTCTTGCAATGCAAATGGGTTAGCTGTAGCAAATCCCATTGGCAGGGCTATGATCTAGGATGATATAAGGATATGGAGGCCCTTTGTTTTCCGCGACCAAATCTATGGCTGGCGCGATGTGCATCAAGGCCGTCAACAGCTCTCAAAAAGTTTGTTGCCCTGTCCACCCAGCGATTACGAGTTGGAAAAAACTTTTCATTCCATTGCGGGCGGAAAGCGTGGCAGGTTTTGTCGGTGCTCCGTCTGCGCCGTGTGTTCCGTCTTGCGCCGTCTTGCGCCGTCTGCGCCGTCTTGCGAGATAGCAAGCAAGCAAGCAAGCAAGCAGGCAGGCAGGCAGGCAAGCAGGCAGGCAGGAAGCAAGCAAGCAAGCAATCAAGCAAGCGAGCAAGCAAGCACGCAAACAAGCAACAAGCAAGCAGCAAGCAAGCGGCAAGCAGCAAGCAAGCAGCAGCAGCAAGCAAGCAGCAAGCAAGCAGCAAGCAGCAGGCAAGCAGCAGGCAAGAAGCAGCAGCAGCAGCAAGCAAGCAGCAAGCAGCAGGCAAGCAGCAGGCAAGCAGCAGGCAAGCAGCAGCAGCAGCAGCAAGAAGCAGCAAGCAGCAGCAGCGGAGCAGCAGCAGCAGCACAAAGCAGCAGGCAAGCAGCAGCAGGCAAGCAGCAAGCAAGCAGCAACCAGCGTTTGCCCCCTTGAAAGAATGATCAAACATAAGTTTTAAAAATCAACGCAGCACAAACAATTAAAAAACTTTTCCAGGCGCACGGCCCCAAAACACTGAAATCGTTCAATTACTAAAAGTTGTGGTGATGCCAAACTTGAACTTTTTCCAGGCGCACGGCCTCCCGATACGACTTTTACAAGCTGATACGACTTAACCCTAGCGCTAGTAGCAGGAATGTGAAGCTTTCTCACCACAGGAAACGTCAGGAAAACATGTTTGGATCTCTGAACTCCAGTTAAAACCTTGTGGCGCCCAATCTATGTGAAGCAAGCTGCTTCACATCCTCCGGCGCATGTGCCAATACAAACAAAATGGGTTCAAACAGGTTTGAAATGCAATGCACGCACATTTGTGACGAGAGTGCCTCGTGTCAACGGGTATGGTATCTGCTCCGGTCCTTTCCCTCCTCTAGCCAGGCGATGATCTTCTCCATGCACTCAAGCTCCTCCTCCCACTTCCTGGCACTCTGGCATTCGAAGCTGTCCGAAACAATCCAAAAGGACAGCCCCCTATCTTTTCTGATCTCTGCTCTTCTCTGCTCATCATTGCTTCTTGCTTTACTTCATTTTCTATTTCTTCCAGCTTGCTGCGCAGCTTTGTAACCCACGCAAGCGGGACGGTTTGTTTTTTTGGAAAATGAAACGATTTCAAAGAGACCCCAGCAAATCCCAGCAGGCTATTCATGTTCGTTTTCGACACTGTCAGTTCTATGATGTTCTATGTGTATAAGTTCTTCATATGGCTTGGCACATGGAAGCCACGCAGAAGCCGAGCAGCTTGAGGTGGGCTGGCGACTTTGTCCTCGCAGCTGCGTGGCCTTTCTTGTGGAATTCCACCTGAGAAGAGAACACAAATCTACAGCGCAAAGAAACTGCTGACAGATCTGACAGTAGCGCAAACAGTAGCGCAAACAAAGCTACAAAATAACATAAAATTACAAAAGACACGCTGGATAGGTTTCCTTCACTCCTTGTGCTGTTGAGCTTTGTCGCTTGATCACGTCATTGATCGGTTTCGCTCTCCCCTATATACCCCGGGCATTGAGGTGCCTTGCCCTTCATGTAGCTGATATCTTTTAGCCGCAGCTCAGAGCAAATTGTATTGATGTCCCGAACCTCACATCGCAAAAGATATCAACAGGAAATTGATGGAAATTGCAATCATTGCCGGTGGGTCATAAAGGGCTGCGTCTAAGATTCATCTTGAAATCATGTTTCAACATGTTTCAACTAAGCCTTTACATGCAGCATGCAATCATGTCATAGCGACACTGTGAGTACGGCAAGTGTTGTCGAAGGGAAAGCAAAGAAAGAAACACATGAACAAGGATAGTAAAGAACAGTGGCATTGAACCAAGAGAATACCAACTGGCCTCTACAAAGCATTCAAAATGGAAACGCTGTGCTAGGGTAGAACAATATCAATACGTATCCCTTTCCCTTCACCACCCTGTCTGAATCTTGGTCCAATTTCTTGCGAGTTGAGGTCGGGCTGGCCATGACTGGACATCCTTCAGCTCGTTCTTCCGGAACTCATGCGTTTTCAACCCTTTCACCTATTGAAATTTATCGACTTTACGATGCAGTAGCTTCTGATAGTTAGTCACTTATACAATTGAGACAGCAACCAAATGTATCCAGTTCTCCCTTGGCACGAAAATGCTCCGTGACGCAATTCAATTCGGATAAGGAGCAGGATCAACTGTGTCTTCGGCGTGAATCACGTCGTCATCCTCGAAGGCTCTCATGACGTGGCAAATTCCGTCCTTGACATCTGCAAGGGGAGCCTTCACATGTCTTCATATTATGCATCATGGACGTACGACTACGCATGACAAGGTTAAGGTTGACGACGATGACGATGCATGACCTCACTCAGCCCTCAAAGACAGCTCGCTGCCAAAATCTGTTCAGCTTAGTATCCACCGATTGAATATGAGAAAGGAAAGCGTTGCCCAATCCTTCACCTTAGAAACTCTGGTGAATGCGTTGTATTCTTCGGTAAGTTTAGCTAAGAGCCAATTTTCAAGTGCACCCACTGCTTTAGTGAGCAAAGCAAGGATCACAAAACGTGGTGCTATGTGCGGCAAAAACCACCATTGCTATCATATATAATTATGACCTACTCAAGCAAAAAGATCCCACATAATAAACCAATCCAAAGAAGAGCCAAACGTATACTTCGCAGCTGTTTGGCATTGAAAAATGTACAAAGTATGTGTCCAATGCCAATGTAAGTGATACAGTAACATCATATAACATCAGCAATGCCAAATTGGAATGCAATATCTTCAGGGATACAATTCTTGATTCTCGCTGCATCGAATGTTATCAGTGTAATTCGTGGAAGGGGCAAAATCATACTGATGAGCCCATATGATGCACATGATATGATGTCGACAGGTTGTCCTAGGTCCTGCAGGTCACACGCTTGAGGTAACTCAAGCAGGGAGGTTGCCCAAATGAATGAGGACCCCTTTTTCTGTCCCTCACCGATGTCAGCAGCGCAAAAGGAGAAACTTCCAGTCTTCCAGTCTCCAGCGCAAGGTGGTTGCGGAAGCCACAACATTTCGGATTGGCTGTGGCAACACAAATTAACCCAATGCGGCCAATGCGTTGATCACTGTGCCCGAATCCTGAACATATTCCGATCAGACAGAAGCGTGTGCCTCCCATCGCCTCCCATGGCAGTTTTGGGGCCCTACATTGGCCCTATGCCCTACGCTGCGTCATTTTTTTTCCTCGCGCGTCTTTTGCCTTCTGTCTCCTGCCGTTGAACGCTCCTGAAGCACTTTCTTGGATGTTCTTTGTTTATCGAGCGGTGCTAAGATATGACAAAATATGTTGAAATTTAAATATTTTTTTTCAAACTTTATTGAAGTGTGGCGGATTGTTGCCGGGGAGCCTTTGTGAGCGCCTGAGATCAGCCCAGCAATGTCAACTACAGTCACAAAGGCCTCAAGTTCTTTGCCCCTTTGGAATAATGAACACATTTAAAAAAAAACACATGCACGAAATTCACGAAAAGTCCGCCACGGTCCCAGACCAATTTTCTGAAGACAATCACAAAAAAACAAACAAAATTTGTTCAAACATAAAACCGATTTGCCAAATTTAAATAAACAACTCTTGTGGTGCATCATGCTGCTCTCCCTGAAATGTCATCCAATTATCATATCCAGTTGGCCCAATTCAATTGGCATCATTTCACTTGGTTCCACTATATTCCACTCCATGAACTCAACTCCTTGATATTCAATGCTGTTCGATGAATTCCCCCCTCCTCCCAGCCTTCACTTCACTTTTCGGCTTGTGTTGTGCCACTAGCCAATCAAAGCGCTCATCTTCCAAGAACGCCCTGGTCTCAGTGGGGTCAATAGTGCAGAACGGCACCTTGGCCGGGATGTCGGCAAGTTGATGGTTGCTGTAGATTGTAATTTTTTTTGTGCTTGCCCACACAACAAACAAGATGCAGCCCACGAACCCGAATGCTCACACGTATGTTAATGGTACAAATGTCGAAACACATGGATATGCAGTCACGTAGAAAACTTTTGTGAAACAGTTGATACATTTCCCCCCTGTTACCATACCAGTGCACCGTAGACTGTGGAATAATTATGGAAGAAGGTGGCGTGCCAAGTGTGGAGTGTGGAGTGTAGAGTCTGGAGTGTAAAGTATGGAGTGTAAAGTGTGGAGTGTAAAGTGTAAAGTGTGGAGTGTAAAGTGTAGTGTGGAGTGTAAAGTGTGAAGTGTAAAGTGTAAAGTGTCGAGTGTGGAGTGTAAAGTGTGGAGTGTGAAGTGTGGAGTGTAGAGTGTAGAGTGTAAAGTGTGGAATGTGGAATGTGGAGTGTAAAGTGCAGTCTGGAGTTTGAAGTGTGAAGTGTGGAGAGTAAAGTGTAGAGTGTGAAGTGTAGCGTGGAGAGTGTAAAGTGTAGAGTGCAAAGTGTAGAGTGTAAAGTGCGGAATGTAAAGTGCGGAGTGTAAAGTGTAAAGTGTGGAGTGTGAAGTGTGGAGTGCAGAGTGTGCAGTGTAAAGTGTACAGTGTGGAGTGTAAAGTGTGGAGTGTGGAGAGTAAAGTGTGGAGTGTAAAGTGTAAAGTGTAGAGTGTGGAGTGTGGAGTGGAAAGTGTAGAGTGTGGAGTGTGGAGTGTAAAGTGTAGAGTGTGGAGTCGGGAGTGCGAAGTGTGGAGTGTAAAGTGTGGAGTGTGGAGTGTAGTGTGGAGGTGGAGTGTAGAGTGTGAAGTGTAAAGTGTGGAGTGTAAAGTGTAAAGTGGGGAGTGTCGTGTGTAGAGTGTGGAGTGTGGAGTGTAGAGTGTCAAGTGTAAAGCGTGGAGTGCAAAGTGTGGAGTGTGAAGTGTACAGTGTGGAGTGTGGAGTGTAAAGTGTAGAGTGTGAAGTGTGGAGTGTAAAGTGTAAAGTGTTGAGTGTGGAGTGTAAAGTGTAAAGTATGGAGTGTACAGTGTAAAGTGTTGAGTGTGGAGTGTAAACTGTAGAGTGTGGAGTGTGATTGGTGGCGTTTGGAGTGTAGTGTGTGGAGCGTAGAGTGTGGAGTGTAAAGTGTAAAGTGTAGAGTGTATAGTGTTGAGTGTGGAGTGTGAAGTGTAAAGTGTAAAGTGTGAGGTGTAGCGTGGGGAGTGTAAAGTGTAGAGTGCAAAGTGTAGAGTGTAAAGTGCGGAATGTAAAGTGCGGAGTGTAAAGTGTAAAGTGTGGAGTGTGGAGTGTAAAGTGTGGAGTGTGGAGTGTGAAGTGTGAAGTGTAGAGTGTGCAGTGTAAAGTGCACAATGTGGAGTGTAAAGTGTCGAGTGTGGAGTGTAAAATGTGGAGTGTAATGGAGTGTAAAGTGTAAAGTGTAGAGTGTGGAGTGGAAAGTGTAGAGTGTGGAATGTAGAGTGTGGAGTGTAGCGTGGGGAGTGTAAAGTGTAGAGTGTAAAATGTGGAATATAAAGTGTGGAGATGTGTGCAGTGTGAAGTGTAAAGTGTAAAGTGTGGAGTGTGGAGTTTGAAGTGTAGAGCATGCAATGCGACACGTCTGAAGTGCTGCGCCTGCCATGCAAATGACGACAGAGATCTCCAAAATGCTGCGCCTGCCACGAAAACTGCGTCTCATCTTGTGAGAACGACGCAAGAGTATTGCGCCTGCCATCAAACAGGTTGGCATGTCACAAAGTGCCGCGCCTGCCACGCAAAACGACATGACAACCTGCTTGGAAACCTTCGAAAAGGAGAGGTTTTGCAGCTTCCCCCATAGACACGGCGAGGCCACAGGAAAACCAGAGACTCGAGACGAGACACGTGGGAGCATCAAAACGAGCATGTCGTGCAAGACTTCCTCCAATTTTCACACTTTGTAGCTTCAAAATCGACGTTTTCCTTAGCACCTGAAAATTTGCAACCCCAAAATCGATGTTTCGTGCGAAGCTTCCGTCCATTTTTCACCACATCTCACAAAATGCCACGCCTGCCACGGAATTTGCACCTTGTCGCCACTTGACGCAGCCCTGACAATGCGATTCGCAAAAATCACGCCACAAGACGCGTCTATATATATAAAGTGTTGCGCCTGCCACGCAAAATGAAGATGGACACGTCCAAAGTGCTGCACCTGCCACGAAAACTGGAACTCATCTTCTGAAAACGACGCAAAAGTATTGCGCCTGCCACACAAAACGACTTTCGATATGTTACAAAACACGTCTGAATGTCACGAAATGCCACGCCTGCCACGTGAAACGAAGCAACGCGACGTTTGAAACCTCCAAAAGTGACCCCTGTTGCAGAACTTACCACGGCCCTCACGCGGACGGTTGCGGACGGTTTGACAACGTCGAGCGAACACACCCTCAACCCCCAGACACCCAGAGTGAAACGGGAACCCTTGCTACACATTCAGGAAAAATACTAAAAATATCTAAAAATACTAAATGCATAAACACATGAGACACTTGAGTCATAGTCATATCAAATCACAATGTCTCAAGCTGCCAACAAAGCCAATCGAACACTGTCATACACTTTCGACATCTCCTCACCATCATGCCAAAACATCTCAAAACATCTCAAAACATCCAAGGTGCGTTTGCAGTCTTCGAATGATGCGACTTACCTTGATTCTGAGGACTGAGGAAAAGCATGGAAAAGCATGCTAACGTACGAGAATTCCAAGTACGACCTGTGAATGCGATGTGGCAGCAATTGTTGCTGCAACTATGCCCCTGTCATGCCACTGCCTTGCTTGTCACTGCATGTGCCAAATGTTCTGGATGGTTCTGCTTGTAAATCAGCAATGCCAAGCAACTCAAAGTGTTGTAGAGGGTGCTCTTGCCAACGTTCCTGGAATGTGGTGGAATGTGGCCAGCGGCCGCCCCAACACATTACAATCACAAAATATCACACACTTATACAAAACTATGATTGTAGTGTTATAATCTGGATTGATGGCATGGATTGGTAAAGAATCATAGGTCAAACACTGGGTCTAGGATTCTTTTGAACAAGGCTCGGCATGCCAACGAGGCCCACTTTCAGTGCCCGAGACCATCTTCCAAGCATCCATGGTCCAACGACCTCCTGCAAGGGATAAATCGAACGTGACAACACGTGCGGCGGAAACAAGCTGGTTGAATGCCAGGGCGGGAATTTCAAACCTCCACGGTCTCCTCCTCGACTTTCTTCTTCGGTGGCATCTTTCAATTGCTGGCAGCTACAGGTGTCAAGGTCTAGTGGCAGCAGCATGCGGCAACATATTTCAATAGCTATCAGCCCTCACTAGGTAGACTCAACTGGAAAACAAACGAACAGAACTGCACCTTTTCAAAACTTCAAGTTCTGGAATGAACAAGCTCCGGTTGAATGCATACCACATTCTTCCATCTGACGTAAACCCAATTTTTCCTGCAACTCTTTGATGGTGAGGTCGTGGCAAGGGAGCACTTCCAGATGTACCTTTCAGCGTGGAATCTAGATCTTCCACCTCGGCTAACTGCTCCACACAGGGTACCACAGTGGTAGTAACATTTGCTTTTGACTTTTTGTTTTTATTTGTTTTTGACGTCACACCAGAATTGTCACTTTCGTGCACTGGTGCAAATGATGCCCTTCTGCCTGGAGTCTGCGAGATCTCTTGGAGCAGTACCATTCCACAGAAACCATCACACAGAAATCAAGAAATACCAAGAGCATCCAAGAGCCATGACAGCTGTTGTCTCAACATATTCATACTCGCTCGACTATGGTCATGGGGCACTTAAGATCCAAAATGCTTGTCGCCCTGCACGCAACGTGCAAGCAACAAACTTTCAAAATTTGGATGGACCTGAGGTTCGCCGCTCCAGCAAGCTAAGGCCAGCAAGAGAATCCAAGTGCATTGCTGCTGCAATAGATTCAATAGATAATATGAGATCGCTTTCAGCAGCTATTGGAGCCCTATCATTGCATTTCACGACGTTAAACGCACTTGATGCATTGCTCGGGCTGAAACCTCAAATCCATGGCTTAAGATGTAGGAAAGAACCGTGCAAGGTACGAGACCATCGTTGTAGACAAAAAGTGGAACCGCCAGAGACATTACCAACTGTGCAGCTGGAAAACATGGGATAGACTCGGCAAGTTAGGAGACCAACCCATAGATGATGGAGGTTGATGGAATTTGTAAAGTTTGTGGTCCTGCAACATCACGCTGGTGCCTGGTGAAAGCATGTGAATTTCTAAAAATAAAGTGAATAGCTTGTTGCAGGACGTTCGCTCACCCCATTTGTGTGTGTGTGTCTTCTGTTTCGACCTTCAGCTACACATGATCAGGCGAGGCAAGAGAGGCTATGCTGTGGTCAAACAAGAACACTTTAAAAATCGGCCCTGTGTTTGCAGTTTGAAGGCATTTTGTGGCGATGCCCTTTGCACATGCGCAATACAATGTTGGAATAATAACAATAATAATAATAAATACCCTTTATCAAGGCCCCCACATGCCACATGGTAGGAAAGTCCATCCAAAAAAGGAGGTTTGGGGCTTTGGGGGTCAAAGCACACAGGCTGGTAGAGGAAAGTCCATCAAACCTGAGGTATGTTGAGTGTGAGATAGTGTGAGTGTTCGAAGTGATGTGATATGACGAGTAGGCCCCAGCATGCACCGCATATGATATGAATGGTCATACTGTCAATACTTCTTTGCAAATTACCAACATTTGCCAACGAGTACAGTATGCGAATATTGGGTCAAAGCAATTAGGAAGTGCTGGTCTTTGATGTTTCATCTTCGAGCACTTCGAGCCTCTCCCTATGTCTGCCGCACCAGCCAGACTGGCCAGACATGGGGCAATTTGTTCGGAACAGAAACGGTCAGAAACACAAAACTCCATTTACAGATATTTACAAATTTACAGTACTGTAAAAAGTTCCATGTGAAATTGGCTTATGGTTGCATCATATCATGATTATTGGCATTACTCTATACATTATATATATATATATATTGAGGTCTGCCCCCGCCCACTAACAGTTCAAAACTGCCCCCCTTTCATAAACCACGTACCAAAAAAGCACAATCATATTGGTGGTAACTCAGGCCATTTTAGGGGATCCTTAGGGTCTGCTTAGGAGAAGATGTGATCTAGGTGGGCCGTACAAGTAACAAAGGGTGGAGTAGTGAATGCAACAACATCACTACCTTTCAGGTGGCATTGTTTGTGGTTAAACCATTTAAATCATTTTAACGAACATCCTTTTGTATTGCGCCATATTGTTGGAGCCATCAGGACATGTTTGCTGAACTTGTCATCAACTAGCCAAAAAATCAAAGTATCGATGTTGCTGTTGATATCCTTTGATGGTTGGAACGTTGGAATGGTTCTGGGAAGTCTGACAGCTGACATGATTTTGTTTATCTGAATATTTGTGTGTCAAATAGCAATGGCAATGATATGGTATGATGATGCAAGGTGTTGCATCGATATGATGATACGATATTATGACTCATGACATTCTTTACAATATTGAATGCAGCATACCTGAGATACCGAGATACTGCAATCAAACGGTCCAACCATTGTAAGTTATAAGTGAAAAGCGTTACAAAGGCGTGCCTCCAACAATAGTTGTTGAGGTTCTTAATAAACATCATATGATAATTACATTTTTTTTCACATTCCCGCTCCTGGCATGGGCTCACTCTTGAGAGTTTTTTTTTGGAAAGGAGGTTGGAAAAAAGGAAATGGTATGAGACATTTGCCGGGCCGCTGGTCCGAAGGCTGTCGAGGCCAGGTGGCCTGAGATTCATTTTTTCCAAAGAAATTGTGCTTTTTTCGTGCTTTTTTGTGCTTTTTTTTGTGCTTTTCCGGCGCTCCCGAGCACAAAAAAAAGCACAAAAAAAGCACAATTCATACCACCAAAAAAAGCACAAAAAAAAGCACAATTCATACCACAAAAAAAAGCACAAAAAAAGCACAATTAATACCATAAAAAAAAGCACAAAAAAAAAGCACAATTCATACCACAAAAAAAAACACAAAAAAAAGCACAATTCATACCACAAAAAAAAGCACAAAAAAAAGCACAATTCATACCACAAAAAAAAGCACAATTCATACCACAAAAAAAAGCAAAAAAAACACAATTCATACCACAAAAAAAAGCACAAAAAAAGTACAAAAAAAAGCACAATTCATACCACAAAAAAAAGCACAAAAAAAAGCACAATTCATACCACAAAAAAAAGCACAATTCATACCACAAAAAAAAGCACAAAAAAAAAAAGCACAAAAAAATCACAATTCCATACCCACAGAAAAAAATCACAAAAAACCATAAAAAAAAAAACCACAATTCATGCGCGTTTCCAGCCCGTTCGCATGTGAAATTGTGAAGGGAAACTATTATCTAATTTGTTTTCAATTGCCAGAAAGCACAAAAAAAAGCACAAAAAAAAGCATAAAAAAGCACAATTCACACCACAAAAAAAAGCACAAAAAAAGCACAATTCATACCACAAAAAAAAGCACAAAAAAAAGCACAATTCATACCACAAAAAAAAGCACAAAAAAAAAGCACAATTCATACCACAAAAAAAGCACAAAAAAAAGCACAATTCATACCACAAAAAAAAGCACAAAAAAAAGCACAATTCATACCACAAAAAAAAGCACAAAAAAAAGCACAATTCATACCACAGAAAAAAAGCACAAAAAAAACAAAGTCATTTTCCTTTTTTTCCTGCGCCAGTTTCTGCTTTTTTTTGTGCTTGTTTTGTGCTTTTTTCTGCTTTTTTCTGCTTTTTTTCTGCTTTTGGAAAGTCGCTGCTTTTAAAGCATTTTCAATTGGCCAGCCCGGCCCAGCTCCAGCCCCCACCTCAGCCAGCCAGCCCGCCAGGCCTCTAGTCCCCCAGCATTCCCCAGCTCCCAGGCTCCAGCCCCCAGGCTCAGCCCCCAACCCTTGCCCAGGGTCAGTCCAGCAGCCCCGGCCTTTATATGTATTGTACACACACACATTCTATTGTTTTGCTATCGGCGCTGCGATGGGCAACATTCTAAACCCTAACAGAATTACTTTTCCATCGGCATTGTGGTGGGCAGCATCCTAAACCCTAACCAGTGTTGCTGTGCCATCAGCGCTGCAATGGGCAGCATCCGAAACCCTAAACAGTATTGCTTTGCCATCATCGCTGCAATGGGCAGCATCCAAAACCCTAAACAATATTGCTTTGCAATCAGCAGCATCACTACCCACAAGGTGCTGACAAGCTGGATGCATGAGGCATCCCATTGGAAATGCCAATGTCGAATTTTGACAGCAAGGACTTCTGGGCATGGCAAGAAAATGTGCCGACCGTGGAGCCAACTTGCAGGGAATATGCCTGGTCATCTAGCCTTAATAAGGGGAAATGAAAGTCATATGGGGGACTACAACCTGATTTTTTTTGTGCTTTTTTTTGTGGTATGAATTGTGGTCACTGTTAGTGTCACGAGGCAGAGCCCAATATATATATATATATATATATATTACTGACCATGACTGACCAGCGTAATTGCTGGTCATACCTGGTCATGTTATCATGTTCTGTAGTCATCAAATGCCAATGTGCTGGCTTCGCTTCCAGGCAGCCCATGTCCCTGGTCATTACCTGCTCGCCAAAGGTCGTGAAGTTGAGCTATCTTTAGCTCTTGTATCTCTTGTTTCCGCAATTCATGGTTTCAAATGGGGCCCCAAAACAAAACCACAAAACCAGCCAAAATGACAGTTGAAGGGGACAAATATGTGGCTGTGATTTCCCATAAGGGGATGTATATAATTAACTGGGTTGAAACCCTACCATTGTCTTCTGGATAATTCATCCCCCTGTGCCGTGCATTCTGGAGAGAAGTTGTGCCAACATAGCCATTTCCAGGCACAGCCTCATACTACAAAATGTTGACTTTACGTGGGCCAACCCCCTTGCTACAAAATGCTGTTGGGTTTTTTTGATGGTGGATCAACAACCAATGTTGGCTCACTACAATAATGCAAGATTGTACCAAGCACGTGTTCACCCTTTTAGTAGTGGAAATGGTAAGACCCCGGATCACGTTGAATTTACAGGCTTCGGTAGAGTCCGATAGAGGTCAGATATGGTCAGATTCCAGAAAGAACATGAAAGAACTTCAAACCTTTGGAAAGGAGTCCTGTCCTGTGGCCAAAACCCAGTGCTCCAACTGGATTGGTCTCTAACGCGGGCTGTGGCAAAGCAACGCAAATCGATTGAAGTGTCCTCAGAATTTGCTTCTACATTGTTCTTGTGGGGTGTCCAACTGTGCGTGAGCATCTTCAGATTTATATAATATCTAATTTCATATGCAACTATAAAATAATATAACAAATAATTTAAGAGTAATTCACACACACACATATACACAACGTTCTCTTTGTTGATTGCGATGGTCAATCGGAGAAGCTTGGTCGATTGGTGGCTAATCATTGAAAATGCGACGGTCCTGATAGTCCTAGCAAAATTAACGAGTATATAGATACAATCAGCCCGTCTTCTTTGTTCTACGCGGCTGTGCGCATCATTCTACATGAGCCTATGTCATGCTGGAGCCGGACTGACACCAACTTGCTCTCCCATTCGGACGTATGTCCTCAGTTTTCCCATGCTTACGCTGTGGCCCGGGAGGACGAGAGTCACATGAAGTCACAAAGGAAAACACAAAAACAAACAATCTTAATGTTTCAATAATGATAAATAACATTAAATAATAGTATATGAAAAAATGAACAAACTGATAATTTGCCTACGGCCTAGAACAGCCTTCCGGCATGTCGGGTGTGAAGCCACGACACAAGTGGTGGAGTCATGTGGAGCCCGTTCGACCAGCAGAGGCGCGTTCTGCAAGGAGTTAATCCATAGCATCTTCACCACTAATGACTATTTAATAGATGCTGATAGCATGATATAGCAATATATAGCATGCAGTTTGGCTGACAGTATGAAAACCACACTGCGTCTTCGGCACAGTCACCCTTAGGTCCTTAGGTCTCTTGCTACTCAACCTTGTTGAAGTAATTACAGAATTCGACCGTCATTGCAGATTTGCCCGGGCAACTTTATGAATCAGAATGGAAAGTAAGCCAAGCCACCGTGTGATCTCGATAATTAATAATGCTCGCACACTATGTGCAGAACAGGAGCGAAATCAAAGAACTGATATATCACGACATGTAAAGACCATTACAGACCCAGACCATAAGTACGACTATCAGTGACAATTTGTGTCAATGTCTGACAACGTCTGCGAGTCTTCAACCTTTGACCACATTGCGTCCTTTTTTGGATGGCTTCACCACGTGTCCGAGCAAGGGGTCGGGGTTTCCCTAGCTGATTTTTTTTTGCGATCTGTTAAAACAGATGGTTGCCTTCACAGACACGGCACTTACTCCAAGATTCAACTGATGGAAAAAATGAAAAACATATTACTTGCTGGAAATCAAGCAACTTCATGCAACTTATAGGTCAATCCAAGGTTCTCCAAGCCACGAGCAGATGCATCCAACAAGTCAGCATCCCAGGAAACCGCGCCCGGCTCCGTGATGATAACACCTGGCATCAAGAAGCATTAAGTACAGTACGCCAGGTCTCAAAGATTGTCACGTAAACTAGCTTAAACATGCTTAAACATGCTCAAACGCGTCAGAATGCTAACCAATACATTCCAATACAGCATTGCCAGATTGCCAGTAAGAAGATGTAAAACTCTTAGGCCCTGTTAGTCACTTTTAGTCAGATTCAGTTGGCCAACCCTGCTATCCTTCTTTTCTGTTGCGGCCACGCAGCATGTGGAGCCGCCATACCTGGGCAACATCCAACGCAGCATCTGCAGGAAACACAAGCGGCACCACAGAAACACACACACACACACTCTTGCTCAGAATTGTCTTATCGAATTGTGATGTGGAATGCATCTCACGTGCAAAAACACGCCAGTAAACCTGATCAGATTGGAGGAACGTGGAAACTGGGAGCTGAGCCTTCCCTTTCGAAATCCAAATGGTTGTCAAATACACCGCAGTAGTGACAACCCCCATCATCATGACCTTCATGAAATCTTGAGTTGCGCCACTCATTCCCACTTCGAGAGAGTAAAACTACCATCGCCATAGCCATGATGAAATAAAATTGAAATCGAAACCAGATTGCGCAAACATGCGCAAACCAAGCAGGATCAGCTGAAAAATACCACTGGCCGGTGCTAGGCTTAGCCGGATGCCATTTCCGAAAATTGCAGGTACACAGATACACGGAATGTCCGCTTCCCTCATTGTGGAATAGCTTCGTTGGCGCAGGTATCCACAATGGGCCTGTGCCCCCTGCAATATTGAAAAGTGTTTTAAAAACGAGACAGTACAGGTTTTACATCTATTGAGATTGTTCACACACACACACACACGCACACACGCACACACGCACACACGCACACACGCACACACGCACACACGCACACACGCACACACGCACACACCACACCGCAACACACGCCACACACGCACACACGCACACACGCACACACGCACACACGCACACACGCAAACACGCACACACGCACACACGCACACACGCACACACGCACGCACGCACGCACACGCACACGCACAGTCAAAATGCAGAACACCATCCAAGGCGTGAAACATGTGCTTGGCTCATCATGGCTCCTACTGGATTGCTGAGGTGCTGAAAGTATCCATAGCACTCTCCCTTGTCAAACATGGAGTCCGCCTCCATAAGATCCACAAGAACTGGTCTCACTTCAATTTTGATGCAAAATGATCCGCATGTTGCAGCAACTCCTTATCTCAACTCATTGAACTTACACCAACAATATATAATCAAAAACATTTTTTCTACATATTTCTACCCCAGAGCTTTGAGTCTTGCATCCCCTAGCTAACGGTTGGCAAGTTGTGGAGAAACAAAGAAAATTACAGTAGCAACCCCGCATTTCTTCACACAGCAGGGCTGGGGCGGAGTGCGAGTTGGTCCATACCTATTCTGGTGCCTGTCAAAAAAAACCAACCATACACTGACAGGTGGAGAAGCGACATGAAATCAATGCAAACCACCTGCAATGTGAAAACAATAATCTAAATAATAATAATAATAATTATACAATAATAATATGAAAAATACTGTAATTTAAAATACATTAAATAACATTAAATAGATATAGACGATATAGAGATCGTATTGAGAAAGCGGTCAAGCTGAGGCCAACTGAGGCGTGCTGCATTCTGAATTCCATACTGCAGTGGCAAAGCTGCTTGGTGCTTGACACATCTTGGCACATTGTCATACAGCCCATCGGACACCGTCGGACACCAGCCTCTTTGAGAAGTTGAACCGAACCAACCAAAGTAGCTCCAACTGCTACAAATGCAACTTGGCCAAAGTTTGGATGTTGTAGCCTAGTTACCTCAGCCACATTTGGCCGACAAGATCCACAATGCGCTTTCAAATCTTTCGAGAAGCTTGCTCATCGTCATTACCTAATCAAAATCATGAAAAAATCAAACCGTGACCCACTGTGACCAGTTGGAGAATGCTTGCCGAAGCCACCTAACAAGGCTTCACCAAACACATATAGCTCATTGTATCTATCTCCTTTCAGAAAAATGCTCGGCGAGTTGAGCTAGCAAAAGCATTTGCAATGATGCTGCTGCATAGGTGTAGCGCATTTCGAACACACCCTACCCCAGAACTGCTCTACACTTGGCTTAGATTCGGCCAAACAATGCTGATGTACTGTAATCATCTGTAATCTATCCTACCGTGCCCTGCCCTGGCATCCACAATAACATCATTGTTTACTCACGCAATGTCATGGAGCATTCTATTTTCTGGTAATCATTGTTACTGAAAAAGTAGTAATAAGTACTGAAATGTAGTGAATATATGTACACACACACACGCACAGTTATATATATATATATACATACATACATACATACATACATACATACATACAGTATGATCAATATGTAATCAATATGTTATGTATTCCAGGAGCCAGCTCTAGCTGAGTGACTGATCTACAGTTCTCGGTAAGAACGTCAACCTTGGGATTGTTGATTGCCACAGGGTTGACCGAGTAGTACTCGCCAGCTAGGTAGGACTGGTCCAGCACCTCCCACTCAGGCACCATGAAAATGAGAAGAGCTGCAACGAGCAAAATCCAAGCCCTATGCTCATCATGCTCTCTTCTGCTAGTAGCCATAGCCTCTCAGACATTTTCTGACCCTCTAGTGACTCTCTCTCTCTCCCTCTCTTTCTTTCTCTTTCTTTCTCTCTCTACTTTTTGCAAACATCTGCTTGTAGGGGCATACAGTACGGCATACATAATGCTGTAGCAGCTGTAGCAAAGGCCTTCCCGGGTCCACAAGGAAAATGGAAACGGTGGTAGTCCTGGCCCGGCCCGGCACGGCCATGCTTAATTAACACAACATGACTTCGGATTGACGAAAGTGATGAACAAATATTGGATATTATCGGATTATATAATATTATATAATTGATTCAATGTTGATTCAATGTGATTTACCTTATTAGAAAAGGGGAACATCACAGCACATTTATATAGGGAGGAAACTCCGATTTCATACCCGAAAGCTTCCCAAAACCGAAATCAACGCTGCGCAGGTTCCTGGGGAGCCAAACGGCAAACAGCAACGGAGCAACCTTAGGGACATTGAGTGTATTTCAGGCAGAAGAAAAATGCATGCTGAGGGCCGTGTCAAGGGCGGTCCGAGGGAAGTTCCCACATAAATGAAGTTTGTATGATTTTGTATGCAATCTATTGCAATCTCATACGTCGACACAAACGAGCACACAAAGAGAGTTGCAAAAATGCACCATCCTTTTGAATGCTTCTTGTCATCCGGACGTGTGGAATGAAGGAGGTATGCAAAATTATGCAAATGATCTCAAATTTCAAATGAACTCTGTTTCTTTAGAAGGGTATGGATCGGGGGTATGGATCGCCTGTGCGTCCGGGGTATGGACCGGGACCTTACATTCTGTGCTGCAGCCATTTCAACATATTGTAATTACTTCTTCCTGAGCCTGCATCCTGTCAAAACGTGTTGAATCATGTGGAACCGAATTTGGCTCCAATCTGCCAAACACTCGAAGGAATTCAAAAGACCAAAGCAGGCCTGGCTTTTCCAGGAAGGGCTTTGCCACAGCTTCTCCCAGCAGCTCAGTGAGGGAAAATTTCAGGCCCTGCCGGAGCCATCGGCCATTCATCATCATTCAACTCGAAAAGGAAGTGAGAGACTGAGAGACAGTGAGAGAGAACAGTGCAGTAAGATCAGTAAGACTTGGGACCACAATCATCCACAATCATAAAGCCTCTTCTCATTCACACCATCCCGGGTTCACAATGCTGCCTTGATCCATATACTGGTTGCTTCCTCCAAGGTCTGGAAAATAATCAACCGGCAGTCCGCGCAGCTGGTGAAAACTCCAGGTTCCTTTGCGGGCAGGATGTTTTCCAACAGCGCCTAAATTTTATGCAAGTCTACCTCATGCAATGGTATATTATATACAGTAGTTTGAATGTCTTTCATTCAGATTGCTATGGATTCCAACTTCAAACCTTCAACTTCAGTTGCTGCTTCAACTCTTTCAAACACTTGAAGTTACCAAGTCTCCTCTGAACTGTGGATTGGGCGAGCCGAAGGCTTCAGCTCACGAGTAAAAAAATCCTTAGATGAGCAAACTGAGGTCGTACCATGTCGTATCATGAGATACAGACCCTGACAAGCCCTGACTGTTGTAAGGTCGGATCTGTATCACCGTTCTTTCAAGGTCAAAGGCCGTTGAAAGCATTCCTGCATATTCCTGCCGATTGCAACGCGCCTTAGAATCATTTACTTGACATGTGACTTACCATACCATAACTATCCATAACTCCCGTCGGTTTCTTTCCATCCCATTCTTGCTGCTTGGCAGGTCCAATGATGTCTATTTGGAAACCCTTGATGTCATGTGAATTCATTTGGAAGGAGGTGGCATAGCATACTTGACACTACAGTACATGCCGTGTCTCTTGCATGGCCAAAGGGTGTGATGCCAACCACTTTGTTGTTGCTTGAAGGGATGCCGGAAGCAAAGTCTTTCAGAGTCTGCCAAGGCTCATTCATGGTTGCGAACTCACTGAGAGGTAATAGTACCTAGCCATGTTGGTTGAAAACATGGTCAAAGGATGTCAAGAGAAATGTAAATGTCATCCAGTTAAAGAACTCCTCATGCTTTGTGTTTGACTTCAATGAAGAGAGGACGTTCCCTGCATCCTTTGCAAGTCTGATTTTCCAGAATGAAACACTGTCTACAAAGACTTCCATCTGACCTGCAGCGTTTTTTCGCCGATGGCAATCAGCAATATTCATATTATTATTTAATAATTATTCTAGATCATGCTGATCATGCTAGAGAAGCCAGCACGAGACCGTAGACAGGTTCATATTGCTTGTCCCAATCCGCGGTGGCAACGTGTTTATGAGAGTGGATGATGGGTGTCTGTAGAACCACGTTGGTCAGGTTGGGCGTCATGTGCCTCGTTCAGCTTGTGTGTTGGTCGATGTTGGTCGATGTTGGTCGATGTTGGTCGATGTTGGTCGATAGGCGATCGGTTTGGTGTCTGGCCTTGTGCTACATCTTGTTGCCATGTTGGATCACGGAGTAAACAGTGACTGGTGGAATGGTAGTGGAATGGTAGTAGTCGGGGTCCTGTCGGGGTCATGTGATGAATCGGATGAATGTTGTTGCCAGTTGTCGCCAGTTGTTGCACTGTCCCAGTTGGTGCTGTAGTGGCCTGGCGCTATCGCAACATGGCGATAGAGCTTTGATGAGCTTCGGTAATGGAGATGTATGGATATGTGCCAATGCTTGCCCTTACCATCCTTTACCTATTGTATATAGATCATATATAGTCGCTTGGCTGATGTGACTATTGTTTATATATGTTTTTATTCAGAGATTAAATATAAATTCTTCATCAAAGGCTTTGACTAGCTTCCACAATGGCAGAAAGTAGCTTCCCGAGAGCATTTACAGTAGTTTCTATGGCTTCTGCCTAGCTTCCACGATACAAAATCGAAGCTTCCACCAGGAATAATCTGGGTAGAAAATCATAGAGTCATTTCATTTCATTTCACCGGTCAAAAAGAAAAGCTACTCACGAGGTAGCAAAGGGATCTTCTTTCATCTTCTTTCTCGGTTCATAGTTTGAATTATTTTGAACATTGGGATGGATTCCAAGTTATGCAATCAAAAGAAAAACTCCTTGGCCTTTCAAACCTTGCCACAACAAGCAAAAGGAAATCCGGTGGGTGGGATGAGATACAGTTCCCCCAAATCCCCAAAGTAAAGTGCTTCCCTGTGCTATCCATGGCTATCCTGGTTGCTACTAACGGTTTGTAGAATTTACAATGGCATGTACGATGTGGCCGAATTGTCTTCTTGTTGAACGTGGCTGTGTTGATCCGTACGTCATGTGAACCGCTATATCTACACACGAACACCCTCACATATATTATATAATCTGTGGGTCTAAGGCATGTCTTTTGCCAAGGCGCGCCGTAAAACGGTTATATTCATATATAAATAAATTATATAATATTATATAATTACAGTACATGCAAAATAAATCAGTATGATATTATATATTCAATTTATTTTGATATATTTTTATAAATATAAATATATATATATATACTAATATCTACTACAATAGATGCGCACACACACACAAGTCCATCCACATTCTGGATATATTCTCGAAATTGGAAGCTGATTAGGCATACATGCATACATATGCGTACCCATTTGCATCTTGTATCCCGCCTCGTCCAAATCGATGTTGTAAACATCACAAAACTTCCGAATGTCCTGTGCTCATGATTGCGCTCTGCTTCCAACCTAAAAGTGCCGCTGATATCCCTTCGTCATCCTGCATGTTTCCGATTGTCCAGGTTCCCCTCTCCTTTTGGCTAGATCGAGAGCGCATCTTTCGACCGGCGTGCTCTGTCAACCTGACAGGCCACACTTTCATCCAGATTCTGCTTTGTTCATGCCAGGTTGACTCAGTGACTACTATATGGAAGAAAGAGGCAAACATACACCTAATGAAGGCCCTCTGATATAATATATAATATATGGGTAACGTTGCAGCAACTCTCCATCGCTAGCTTGGATGGAGTCTGAATTCTGCTTCAATATACTTTGCAACAATATGTCACAATATGCAAGTCAAGAATTCATAATAATTCATAAAACACAACTGTCATCAACTGTCAATAGTCAATGTGGGATTGGCGTGCCGAATGCTTAAAGAGAAGCAGCCTTCGGAGGCAACATCTGAGATGGTGTGCAGGAACCACACCACATGCTGATGTGACATACCTCAAGAGAAAGCGAAGAGAAAGCGCTGGAGACTTCTGGAGACCGGAGAGAACGTCTTTTCCGTGTGGAGGACCATGGAGGACCCATGTTGCCACATGTTGCTACATGGTGATCTCCCTGAAGTGACACCATTCTGAATGTCAAACATTCTTGAGCACACTGCATACCGCTGGCCTGCTCTGATACACTATACCGATTGTAATCATATACCCGGAGGCTGAAGCAATGAGGCTAACGTAGCCTAACCAGTGTGAACGAAATGCAGCTGCAGATATGGATATGTTCAGCTTAGCGTGTCTTTTGTGGAACAAACCTTGTGCGGTGGATTTGATGCGTCCGTTCCAAGTCACACAGTAACTTCATTTCTTAAGGGGTGCTTTTGCCTGGTAAACTGTAGCACCCGCGCTAAGAGTGAACAAGCATGTCAGTGCTGTACAACATCCCACAATTTGCAAATCATTTTTACAAATGTCTATGCGAGCTCCATCTAGTTTTAGAAATGGGGTTCTTGCGAAGAAGTTGTTTTTTTTGTTTTCATTCTCAATACATCCGTTTGTTTTCGCATGCCAAGCAGCAACCCCTTCAAGGTCGACCACACCGGGCCAGGTATGACTTCTTTGAAGGTCTTGCCAGTCTGGCGGTCTATGACCTGACAGCGCAGGTGGCACATGCTGCGCACGCTGAAGTAAGTCAGCCCAACAGCCCAACCATGACATATCCGACATATCCACAGCACTGACATACTCTGAAGGTTTCTGATATAACCTGACTAATCCTGATGCAAAAATTCTCACGTGGCACCTAGTCAACAAGTGATGCTTGAACAGCATCGAATTCCCTATGGAGTACTGTTCAATGCTATAGGAGAACCACATGCTTTTAACATGACCCCTGTTCATCTTGACACATGTGCTCACATTGGAAGGCCAACCACTGACACCTAGTAAGGACCTAGTAATTGAGGCTTTCACCTTCTAGTTTTGACATACTTTACAGTAAGTCATTGTGGTGCCCAAACTGAGTTCAGTGCATGGCGGGTGTGGCGGAAGCGGGGTTCCACCTTTGGCAGTGCACCAGCCTCCTTAGCAAAGCGGAACCAGCGCAGAAAGAATAAATTTAATCAAGGTGAACTGCAAACCTCGGGGGGTGCACTGCAGTGAACTGTGGTGAGCTGCCTGCTACATCGAACTTCCTTCTTCTTCTTGCATCTGACTCCCTAATGCCCCGACGCTGCATGGCCCTACTCTCTTCAATCAAGCGACAATTTTCTCAGTTTTCTCCTCTTCGATCTTCCCGCTCTGCTTTTTAGAACCGCGGCAGCCCATGCTCACATGTGAACAAAGGGTAAATCCTGGTCTTTGTCTGTAGGAAACTAGGTCTGGAAAACAGTGACAAATCTTCCGGTGTATCACCAGGCCTCACCACACATAATAATAAATTATATAATATACAGTAATATACATATCGCTACATGGAATACAATATTTCTGAGGAATTGTCCAGTCTCAAATAACATGACTTTGTGATGCCATGAATGTGTTTATGTATGTATGCAGGATCTTTATACATGCATATATGCATGCACGCTTTAAGTATGTATGATTATTCTGGATTTTGCAGCATGAACTGTGCCACAAATCATGGCACATAGCCTTGGCACAGCTTGCACTTAGAGTTGCTCCGACCTCCTGAATTGTGGCCGATTAGATCGCGACTTGTAGCCAGTAATCTTGACAAGGTCACGGGTGGCTAAATGTGGAATGCCGAAATGAATCTCCAACCAAATACTGACATCTTTGCTCCAAACCTAGGACCTAGATATCATGCAAACCGGCACTGATTTTTCCGGATTCAGCAATGCAAGGGGCAAGCTGACACAAGCTGACACAAATATCCAGTCCAGTGCCAGCTCTTTTTGCCTTGCTGATTTTACAGGCTAATGCTCACACATTCCAGCTGCAATGTTCTGGCTCTGCATTTTGAAAGCCAGCGTGGTGAGACTCGCACAACCAAAACTGACCGAGTTTTGTCGGAGCATGTAATTAACATCATCTAAAATCTAAAACGTCTGCAAAAAACTCTCCAAAGCTTGAGTGGGCTCCCTCACACAATCCACAATTGATATGGAGTTTCGTAGAGGGCGCTGCTATTTAGAGCGGCGTAAGCGCGTTTGACAAGAATGCCGAAGAAAAAAGGTTGTGCCAAAGAACATTTACAGGCAACTATGGGCGTGAACACGAAAATGCAAAAACATGTGCCTACTTGTGTATCAACTGTCAGTTCCACAGGTCCATTTGCGGTATGCAGTCCGTACACAATGACAATGATGAGTTGGCACAAGTCCAAATCGTTTGGCAGCCTGCAATTGTCCAGAATCAGATTTAAGCAAATAGTGAAAACAACATAACATATTCACTCAGAACGGGGAAAAATTTATTTTCATCTTCTTGCCGTGCTCCACACCTCTCATGGGAAGACAGCCCTAGACTAGCTCGCACCTCATGCAAAACCTGAAGAACAACTTGAGGGTGCCTGCTCGCTGAGTAATATTCGAGTGCGGTACTATCTACACACACAGTTCTATATACACAATCATATATAAATATAGATACATTTATATATTTGTATATATACATTTATATGTAATATATATATATACATACATTTATATGTACATATATATATATGTATATATTTGTATATATACATTTATATGTATATATATATTTATATGTACATATATATATACATTGATATATTTGTTATATGTACATATATATATATATACATTTATATATTTGTATATATACATTTATATGTATATATATATTTATATGTACATATATATATACATTTATATATTTGTATATATACATTTATATGTAAATATATATATATACATACATTTATATGTACATATATATATATATACATTTATATATTTGTATATATACATTTATATGTGTATATATATATATACATTTATATGTACATACATATATATATATATACATATGTATATATATATATACATTTACAGACATATATGTATAATATAATTATAATACAATATAAATATAAATAAATAAAAATATATATATATTATGACGTCTTGCCAGAATGTCTTTTCCTGGTTTAGTTGATAAATCATCATTCCTCGCGTGCCGCTTCTTATTTGGTATTTAAAACCATGACTTACCTAAATAGTCTGAAACCCTGCATTTTAGCTTTCATGTTTGAAGCCAGAGCTAAAACCTGCAGTAAATGCTAACGCGCGTCTGTATGAAGTGGGTGCCGCTGCTAGTTCTTAGTATTATTAGTGGTGGAATTGGAATATCTGCAGGGCTTGTCGTTGCCTTTGCTGTCACAGTTGCTTTTGTCAAACAGACAGGATAAACTACAAGTTCTCTACTGGCGACTGGGTCACGGGTCAACCAAAGCCGTTTCTTGAAACTTTTGCTAGCGCATCGCTAGCGGGGGTAAAATTAATTACGTACAAATTCGCAAAATGGAACCGCAACGGAAATTGTTGAGTAGCACAGAAATTCACTAAGACATCCTTTGGTTTAAGGAGCTAAGTGTTATTACATTTTGACTGGTTTTCATGTTGAAATATCAAGCAAACAGGACACACAAAAACAAATCCTTGAACATGGGTATGAAAAAAAAATAACGCAAACCTAGCGGGTTTGCTAGCGCTGCCTTGCAGAATTGGTGAGTCGTGCCGCCTCATAACGAAGAGGAAAAACCAGAAGGTCCACACGTACAAAACCTCTGTCAACTAGTTTTGGCACATGGTCATATATGTTTTATACACATACAGGTACATACCCATTGTACACGTCTCTCTCTCTCTCTGCATCGCTATCTCCGGTGAGACTGCTGCGTGAAGAGGCGAGAATGCGGGCACAAAGTTTAGTAGCCAACAAGGATATTGAATAAACCTATAAACCTGAGAATTCTTCGTTGCATTCTGTCCGCCTTGCTCGGCCTTGCTGCTAGGCTTCAAGAATCCTATTTTCAGTTTTTCCCCACCTGCCAGGTGAGGGTTGTTAGATTTTATGTCAGTTGCCTCCTCCTGCCTCGTCCTCCTCCTCCTCCTCTCCTCCTCGTCCTGCTCAACCGCGACCCTCGACGCACAGTGTTCTCTGTCGGACCTCAACCACGACCATCCACGCCCAGTGTTCCCTGCCGGACCTCAACCACGACCATCCCCGCCCAGTGTTCCCTGCCGGACCTCAACCACGACCATCCACGCCCAGTGTTCCCTGCCGGACCTCAACCGCGAGTATCCACGCAAAGTGTTCCCTGCCGGACCTCATGTAGGAAGATATGGGACAAAGAATGTGCAGAAGAAAGTTAGAAGATAGAATGCCAGAAGATTTGCCAGATAATATGCCAGAAGATATGCCAGATAGAATGCCAGAAGATATACCAGATAGAATGCCAGAAGATATGCCAGAACATATGCCGGAAGATATGCTAGATAGAATGCCAGATAGAATGCCAGAAGATATGTCATAATATATGCCAGAAGATATGCCAGATAGAATGCCAGAAAATATGCCAGATGCAATGTCAGATAGAATGCCAGAAGATATGCCAGAAGATTTGCCAGATAGAATGCCAGAAGATATGCCAGAACATATGCCAGAAGATATGCCAGATAGAATGCCAAAGGATATGTCAGATAGAATGCCAGAAGATTTGCCAGTAAGAAAATGTATAAATGTCATGGTGGGGATCACACGAAGTAAAGTAATTTCCACCATATCACCATGGCACAATAGCTCAGTCTGATTAAACATCCGCGTCCCGGGTCAGCTTTGGTCTGATCAAAATGATCCATGTGTGCCATCAGGTCCGGCAGCCTTGGGCTCACGGATATCTGCTGGAGTATCCTTCAGGGCAGCGTTCTGCACGCACGGCACATGGTCAAAACTTGTGTACAATGTAGATTTGTGACCTTAACTAGATTCAAGGTAAATGTCACACATGGCATGACCTCGACAAAGGATTCTTTGAACAGAATCTGTTGAGTTGGACAAAGAAGCGCAGTAAGACTACGAACATAGCAGCAAACAGCTGTGTTGAATTATTGAAGAAATCCACCCTGCTCTTCACACATGCTCTTCCTAGTAACGCTGTGTCTGCACATTACATATGACATAGACTTCCCAGCAGCTTTACCTAGGCGTATGCCTTCAAAAATTGAAGGAAAGGCAAACCCAAAACATACAACCATTCCTACCCCTAACCCGACAGGACTTTCATGAAGTTATAATGTGATGCACTCCTTGATGTCAATCAAGTGAATAGTGCAGTCTTCAGCTGAAGGTTCTGATTCTGCTGCCTATCAAACGCGTTAGCTGTGACTGAGTGCAAAACTGCTCAAAACATCCCAAAACCAGGTGAGTGGATGGCACCGTCTTCCTCCAGAATGCAAGAATACATGTCCGAACATAATATATAATATGTTCTGTATAATGATAATGCACATGTCGTATACACATATATATAAATATTATATATATATATATATGCACGTAGCACTATGCAATCACTGATGCTTAAAAAAATTGTGCTCACAGCCAACCTATCTTTACTGACCATGGAATGCTACATCAAAACCAGGAGAAAGAATCCTTAGAAGAAGCATAGATAAGCATAGATCGTTCCTAGATATTTTGTTTATCCAACCACCTTGTAGGTGTCAGTGTTCCCTTCAAGACAATGCACTATCTCTTTCAAGAACAATATACCTGCGAAAATGATGACGTACGCCTGCGAATGATTCCTTGCTTCTATTTTGATTCCCCAAAAGCGTAAGCTTTGGGTCTTCAGCCATAGTAAAGGTTTCGGAGCAGGTCGGAGCAGCCAAATCCGCACGGCGCAACATTGGGAACCGGGTTCCCAGGAAGGGTTTCCTTTTCCAAGAGAATCCCTCGGAGCAGCCGAATCCACACGCCGCAAGGTTGGGAACCGGGTTCCCAGGAAGAAGTTCCCAAGCAAGGTTCCCAGGAAGAGGTTCCCAGCCAAGGTTTCCAAGCAAGGTTCCCAGGAACAGGTTCCCAAGTAAGGTTCCCAAGAGGTTCCCAGGAACAGGTTCCCTCCCCAGCGAAAGGTTCCCAAGCAAGGTTCCCAGGAACAGGTTCCCAAGCAAGGTTCCCAGCAAGAGGTCCCCAGCAAGGTTCCCAAGCAAGGTTCCCAGGAACATGTTTTTCCGAGCAAAACAAAGTTCCCAGCACAGGTTTTCAAACAAGTGTTTCCAAGAAGAGGTTTCCAGGAAGAGGTTTCCAGGAAGAGCCAAGCAAGGTTCCCAGCAAGCTGGTTCCCAAGCAATGTTTTCAGGAAGAGGCTCCCAAGCAAGGTTCCCAGCCACAGGTTCCCAGGAACAGGTGCCCATACAAGGTTCCCAAGAACATGTTCACAAGTAAGGTTCCCAAGCACGTTCCCAAGCAAGGTTCGCAGGAAGAGGTTCCCAAGCAAGGTTCCCAGCAACAGGTTCCCAGGAACAGGTTCCCAAACAAGTTTCCCAAGAACAGGTTCACAAGTAAGGTTCCCGAAAAGTTCCCAGGCAATGTGTCCAGGAAAAGGTTTCCAAGCAAGGTTCCCAGGAACAGCTTCTCAAGCAAGGTTTCTAGAGGTTCTCAAGCAAGGTTCCCAGGAAGAGGTTCGCAAGCAAGGGTTCCCAGTTGCCCCTGGAAATTTTGCTTTGGAACCAGCTCTTCCTGGGAACGCTTGCTTGAGAACCTGTTCCTGCGAGCCTTGTTCCTGCTTGGAACCTTGCTTGGAAACGGTTCCCGGGACCTTGCTTGGGAACCGTTATTTGGGAACCGTACTTGCAAGCGGTTCCTAAGAACTTAACCTTGCTTGGGAACCTCTTCCTGGATACCTGCTCGGGGGCCTCTTCCTGGGAACTTGCTTGGGATTTTTTTTGTCCGAGCAGCGTAAGCTTGGGGTCTTCAGCCACCCCAAGAAAAAGATTTCCAATCAAATTTTCCAGGAACAGTTACCAGGAGCGATTCCCAAACCAGGTTCCCAAGAACAGGTTCCCAGGCAAGGTTCCCAAGCAAGGGTTCCACAAACAGTTACCAAGCAAGGTTCCCAGGAACAGGTTCGCAAGCAAGGTTCCCAGGAACAGGTTTCCAAGAAAAGGTTGCAAAAAAGGTTTCCAAGAATAGGTTCGCAAGCAAAGGGTTTTCAGGCAAGATTCCTGTGAACAGGTTTCGAAGCAAGGTTCGCAAGACCAGCTTCCCAAGCATGGTTCGCAAGAACAGGTTCACAAGCAAGGGTTCCAAGAACAGTGCTTCAAGTTCCCAAGCAAGGGTTCCAAGAACATGTTTCCTTGCAGGGTAGCAAGGTTACCAAGCAAGGTCCTTGGGAACAGGTTCACAAGCAAGGTTTCCACGAACAAGTCCCCAAGCAAGGTTCCCAAGGACAGGTTTGCAAGCAAGCTTCGCAAGAACAGGTTCCCAAGCAAGAGTTCGAAGAACAGGTTCCCAAGAACAGGTTCCCAAGAACAGGTCCGGGTTCCAAGAACAAATTCTCTAGGAAGGTTCCGAGCAATAGGTTGCCAGCACGGTTCCCACGAACACGTTCCCAAGCATAGTTTCAAGTTGCTCATGTTCCCAGGAACAGCTTTCCAAGAACAACTTGCAAAGCGAAAATTCGAAGAACATCTGCAAGCAAGGTTGGAAGCAAGAACAGAATCCCAAGCAAGGTTCCAAAGGACAGGTTCCTAAACAAGGTCCCCAAGCAAAGTTACGAAAAACAGGTTCCCGAGCAAGGTCCCAGTGAACAGGTTTGAAGTTTGAAGCAAGCAGGCAAAGTTTCCAAGAACGTTCCTAAGAATAGGCTCCCAAAAACAGGTTCCCAAGCAAGGCTCCCAAGAACAGGTTCCCAAGCAAGAATAACGGAACGGAGAGATTGAAGAACTAGTTTTGCCTCAAAAAATGATACGGCACTCGCACATGGATAAAAACACTAGACGACAGCGTGGCATGAAAGAAAGCAGGAGGGAGGAGACGAGAAGATAATACACAAGAAAAATGATGATGGGGATGATTATGACGACAATGATGATGGCGATGACGATGACGAGGATGAATGGTGATGGAGATGATAATGAATGATAGCTAACGCGAGTCAAATGTCATATAAATATATACACGATTTCATGCCTTTTTTGTCCCCGCACAGGGTTTGCTCCAGGGCTGGCACCTGCGCGACAGCCAGAATCAAAAGACATGTTGTTATTACACAGCGAAAAAATTACACAGAGAAGATTTTACACACAGAAGCCTTTACACAGAGGGGGATTTACACAGAGCAGCTTTTACACAGACGCTTTTGCATACAGACGCTTTTGCATACAGAAGCTTTTGCGCAGAAAAGCCTTTTCTAAAGAAGCCTTACCACATGACGCCTTTACACAGAGCAGCTTTACACACAGACGCTTTTTCACAAAGCAGTTTTTGCACACAGGAACTTTAAGGCGCAGATGCCCAAGCTTTTACACACAGGAGCTTTTGCACACACGCGCCTTACAAAAAGAAGCTCTTAGACACAGAAACTTTTACAGCCTTTTCACAAGAAAGCTTTTACACAGAAGCTTTTGCACAGAGATGCCTTACAAACAGAAGCTTTTACACACAGAAGCTTTTAAACAGAGCAGCTTTTACACACACAGAAGCTTTTACACAGAGAAGATTTTGCACAGAGAAGCTTTTTCGCAGACAAGCGTTTGCGGGAAGGAACTTTGAGCACAAACGGTTTTTACATACAGCAGCTTTCACACAGAGAAGCCTTTGCGCGGACCAGCTTTTACACTCAGGTTTGTTTTCACAGAGCAGCGTTTACACGGAGCAGCTTTTACACACCGAAGCTTTGACGCAGAGAGGCCTTTACACAGAGAAGCTTTTACGCACAGAGGTTTTCACACGGAAGCTTTACACAGAGAAGCGTCTAAACAGAGCATCTTTTATACACAGAAGCATTTGCACACACAAAAGCTTTACACACACAAAAGCTTTACACACACGCCTTTACACACAGCGCTTTTACACACAGACGCTTTTACGCATAGAAGCTTGTTCACAGAGCAGGGTTTACGCAGAGCAGCTTTTACACACTGAAGCTTTTACACAGAGAGAGGCCTTTGCACAGAGCAGCTTATACAATCTTGTACGCGCAGAAACTTTAAACACGCAAATGCCCAAGCTTTTACACAGACAGGTCTTTACACATAGAGGCATTTACACAAAAGTTCTTCACACAGATGCGGCAGGTGCTTCTACAATTTACCCAGAGACGCTTTGACACATACACGCCTATACACACAGAAGCTTTTAGACACAGATTGCTTTTCAGAGAATCACAGAAGCTTTGACACAGAGAAGCCTTTACACATAGAATTGTTTACACACAGAAGCTTTTACACACACGAGCTTTTCCACAGAGAAGCTTTTGAGCACAGCAGCTTTTACACACAGACGCCTTTACACATAGAAGCTTGTACACACGGAGGCTTTTACGCACAGAAGCTTTTACACAGACAGAGAAGCCTTTACACACAGACGCTTTCCCACAGAAAAAACGATTCCACAGAGCAGCTTTTACACACCTCAAAAAATCGCAATTTTACGTAAGTTTTTGACGTTCGGCCATCATATCGTGCGAAAGGGTTGCATCCGGCGTTGGAAAATCACAATTTTTATATTTTTGACGTTGGACAATCATTTTGCGTGAAGGGGTTGCGCCTGACCTTGCAAAATCGCAATTTTACACACATTTTATATCGCGCGAAACGGTTGTGCCGAGTTGTGCCTGACGTTTCAAAATGGATAAAGTCGCAATTTTACCCCCAATTCTTGAACGTTTGCATCTGATGTTAAAAAATCTGTTTTCCCAGAGTTATTGCCGTTTGACTTTCATGCATCTGAACTTTCAAAATCACAATTTTACACCAGTTTTGACAGTTGACCCTCATTTCGTGCGAAGGGGCTGCGCCGCGTCCCACCAAATTTGCATTTGCCACGTGTTTGGATGCCCGACCTGCGCGATCTCTGCAGTGGGTTGCCCGTGCCCAAAAGAAATTCACATTCCACCACATGCTTGGGCGTTCGAAACGCACGATCTTCGCAGACGGTTGCTGCGGGCAACGAAGTTTCGCATTTCACCACACCACATGTTTGCCCATCCGGCACGCACGATCTCCGCAGAGGGTTGCCCTCGGACAAACAAGACCCGCATTTCGCCACACGATTGGGTGTCCGACACGCCGCAGAGGGTAATGTTTCGCAAGCCACTACCTGGCTGTCCCTGCCGTCAGAGAGAAATAGAAGAACTGGA